CGCATAACACCGAACGACTCAGCCGGTGCTTCGCCTGCAGAATTGATGTTCAAGCGGCAGTTGCGCACACGACTCGACCTGCTTAACCCATCAACGCAGGATAGAGTCATTGCAAAACAGACGAAGATGAAAGAACGTTATGATGTGATCACCCGACCACGAGTCGTCGCGCATAACGAAAGTGTCTACACGCGACTGGAACACGAAACGAACTGGTGTCCAGCGGTAGTTCGAACAAGCGAGGGGCAAATAGTGGAATTAGAGTTAGAAGATTGGAGAATTGTGCGTCGACATCTGGACCAAGTGCTATTTCCAATTGCCCTTCTGTTTTGCGTATTAAAACAGGCATTTGGAGTGGGCTCTACGTCGAAGCAGTAAGGCCAGAAAGGGTCAAAGATGTAAAAAACTGACTTGTACAGCCGTACAGTGTGATTCGTATGTACTCGACCTCCGTGACCAGAATATGAACGCCCCGCGAAAAACTAGGATAAGTGAGAGAAAACTAACGCGTCATCAAATCGGTGTGCCTGGATTTCCCCCACAAGCTTTTTATCTACCAAATGGCACAACCCAGTTCCAAGCCGAGGGCGCGTGTGGTCGGTGACCGGTCAAAAATAATACATGCCTATGTTTTTGGATTGTGCTGATATGCTCCTTTACAACGCTGGAATGTCAAAGTACTAGAATAGCCGTTCGTTTTTTTACAAGTTTACTCACAGGCCGACATGTGCGTTCTTCCTTTTCTTTGTTGACCCTCTGATGTAAATTTATTCAAATGAATTAAATTTCTTGCTTCGGTTGGAGCTACGTGCAGATGGCTAGAGGTGGCAGCCACCCCAGACCACCTCAATGTGCATCTACTCATTCACTTGTTTCTGTGGAGCAGGTTATATTGGTCGTACGAGTCGGTGTCTTTCCAAAGGAATACGAGAGCATCTTCACGCATGGCTGGCAAAGGGTGAAACTAGGAGAATAGACAGAGCCATCCTTGCGCATGTAGTGGATTCTGGGCATCCTGTGGACCCCGCTGGAGCATTTCGTGTGATTTATAAGGTCCCCTCGAACTACCCTAAGCCACTGGGCCAGCGCCTGTTAACAACAGCAGAAGCAGCCGCCATCAGTTTACGAAAACCGACCCTTTGCGCCCAGAAGAACCTCGTTCAGGCTTCGCGCTACTGTGGTCAAAAGTTGACTAACGACGTAAGAAGTTCTGTGCCCTTTCGCTCTTACCTAGCCTGCGTTTTTAAAAGTAACTTTTATCGATTTTTTCAATCACAGTACCGCGGCCCGAAGAAAAGTTACCGAAAGCAACGTTTGCTCGTCGCCTCGTCTTCTGAATATTGGTATGTGCATTTTCACAACTCTATAACAGTCCAAAGATTTAATTCGTGTACGAAATAAATGCATAATCAACAGGGTCATTGTTTTGCGTCAAGCCGGCTAATAGATAAAATTAGTAACTCAGCGGAAAAAATCGTTAACGTGCACAAAGAAATGAGAAGTGAAATTATGGAGCTAAAGGCTACCATGACAAGTTTAGGCTAACTACATGTTCTAACTGTTTACAAATATCTGATTTCACCTACCGTATATAGGCCGCCTCCAAGTAACGCGATGTCCGAGTTATTCATGCCCGAACAAGTACTCGGAAGGAAGTTTTAGGTTCGACGGAGTGTCCACTCTCAATTAGGTGTTTTGTAATGAAGGAACGCGAGATTTTTTTTTCTTGCTTTAAGAGCCAACTGGGCAGGTGCTCAATAGACCTAAATGTCAACTGCCTTTGCGTTCGCCTAATGTACTTGCATCAGCAGAATCTTATTACCGACAAAGACAAGGGAGACTGGAATGACCATTTCTGGCTTATTAGCCGTTGTCAGCCAGTCATACCCAACCCCGAAGTGGGGAACACCTGAGGCTCGAACTCGCGACATGCTAGTTAGAAGTCAAATGTCTCTAACCGCTGGGCCACGGGCCCGTTGTCCTGTCGGTGTCGATCGAAAATATACAAGGGTAATAACATTCTGTCTATATCATGCGCCGCTGTGCGGCTGTTGGTTGGACTCGAGAGAGCCCATGAGGCACAACAGAACGAGTGAGTTCCGTAAGAACAATCGGTGAGCGCCCCTCTACCATTGTATTTGCATCAGCAATCGAATTTGAATTCATAAGCAAAATTTGAGGTATCGTGCACTGGCAAGACATCCTTCGCCCGTAGAATTGGAAGAGGCCTGGTAGGACTGCACAATACGAATTCCGCTGCATTGCATGTCTTTTCAATGGTTGAACGCAGTCGTCGTTTCATAGTATTTAAAATATTGTCGCCCTTAAAGGACAAATATATAAAAGCGGGCTATTTCGAAACCGAAGGTTCTGCCAATTTTGGCCGTGTAGATTTGCTGTACTTGTGGATGAAACGCACAGGATATCCATGCCTAAGCAGAGTTTCTTTGAGGCGTACAAATTCCGCATTCAGTGCGTCATTGGAGCAAATGTTCCTAGGCCTTTGGAAAAGAGTGTATACTTAGTTCCGTTGCAGGTAAGGATGGTAAGGGATGTCTGTTGATGGCTTCCTCTCGGCCTGTAGATGGAGAGGTAAGGACACGCCCAGAATGGTCGACTCAACACCCCGGTATTTGCTGTTTTTCCGTCAGTTGGGTTGTTATGTGGCTGTACGCCCCATGGACGACGCCACGGCTGCTCATTCATGCCGCCTTTCTGTCCGCCTCAGGTACAAGGCACAGCCGAAGAATCGCATGACTGAGCGCCGGCATGGCGAGAGCTCGAAGCCACTCGGCGATGCGTTCACACAAGATCAATATAAATATATTGAATAGGGATAGAAAGGATATGAGACGGTAGTCACGTTGCCGTCGTCGTCCGCGTACGGATGGCTGGGTATGCGCGTCCAGCTCGGTCAATAGACGCTAGCTATCCACTCGGCTGCCACGGCTCCTCACCCCCTCACTTCTGGCCTCCGGATTGTTCGCTGAGCTGTCCTCCTTGACTTTCTCTCGCGTAGTTTCGTCGTTCATGGGGAAGTCCGGATTTTTAGAGAGGAACTTTTCCGGAAGTGCCCAGCTGGGAAGGGCCAGCCTGCTATTACGGATGCCCACCTCTTCCACGACCTCTTCTATGATGGTTAAGGCCTGATTGGGGGGGGGAGGAGAGCGGGAGAGGAAATGGATCAGGATACCGTTCCCAAATAAACGCAAACATCCGCTTTCGGAAAATACCGATTTTAAAAAATCAGTTTACATTAAGACCATACGAAGACAATAATAAAAGACCTTTTGGGGTCGCATCATAGCA